TGAGAAAGAGGAACTAGCATTGTCAAAATGACCCTGAAAGCCCATAAGTTATGAAAAAGGACACATTGTTCTAGAGGATTCCAGTGTCTTCTAAAGGTCGTCAACCAGAGGCAACGTTCACGGGAGACAGGAGATGGTCCTTGAAGGACCCAGCAAGAGGCAGCGGCCGCCGATCCTCTCCTGGCCGTGGTCCGGGGGAACTTTGGTTTTACTGACTGTGTTTGTTTTTAGGGCTGTTAGTTTCACACACTTAGGTAGCTGCAAACAACTGGAATTTATTCGCTCACAGTTCTAGAGGCTTGGAGCCCAAAATCAAGGTGTCAGCAGGGCCACGCTCCCTCTGCAGGCTCTAGGGAAGGATCCTTTCTTGCTTCGTGCAGTTTCTGGCCGTCCTGACAGCATCACTCTGATCTCTGCCTCCTCTGTCACATGGCCTCCTCCCTGTGCGTCTTCGTGTGTCCTCTCGTCTTCGTATAAGGGCACCAGTCACTGGCTTTAGGGTCCACTCTAAATCAGGATGATTTCATCTTGACCTCCTCAACTAATCGCACCTTCTTAGATCCTACTTCTAAATAGGATCACGCCTGAGGTTCCAGGTGAATGGAGGACGCGATTTAACCCCCCACGCCAGCATTGTTGGAAATTTTTCTACAAACTGAGCTTGTACGCGTGGGGTACTTAGGATAGAAAAAACCAAAATGAAACAACAACAAAAAAGAGTGCATATGTATACACACACACATGATATTTGCTCTCTTACTCTGGCTGAATTGCAGGTGAGGTGGTTGATGGGAAGAGAGGAGAATAGAATAATAATAATACCTAACACTTGTAGAGTGCTTACTATTGGCCAGATACTGTTTTAAGTGCTTTTGCATATTATATCACTTAATCTTCATAGCGATCTTGTACAGCGGGGGAGAGTATCATTCCCAATTTACAGGTGGGAAAACTGAGGCACAGAAAAGTTAAGTTACTTGCTCAAGCTCCAGGGGAAAATCCAGGATTGGAACCCAGAAAGTCTGACTCGGAAACTGTGCTTACAACTGCCCCCCTGTACTGTTTCTTCGTGTGTGCAAGGCACACATAGGAAATGTAGGTCTGATTCAAGAAACTCCTCACCACTTCCTAAACACATGCAGACACACATACTCTCCCTCCCCCTCCAAAGAGAACAGTAATAAATGAGCACGTAGCTTCTCTGGTTAGGTGTGTTTGCAGCATTTAAACTGCAGAATCCATTGAACCAGGGGCAGTCAGACACATACTCGGGACAGATGAAAGCTAGTATGGGCTGGGTAAAATACAGCCGTTCCTGCACATCACCGATGGCCTGGCAGGTTCCTCAGACCGCAAGTGGTTTCAACCAACCAGAATGTGACATCGCACTGGTCAAACAGTAGCCACACATCCAGGGCGGGGTTCACTTTTAGCAGCTTCTAGCAAATTGCTGCTACTCTGCACTTGTGGTCCACCTGGTGCCTCACAAGCCAACACACCCAGAGGGAAGAAAAGGGGAGTCAGGAGGCCTGTTTAAAATGAGAATGCAGGGGCGCCTGGGTGGCGCAGTCGGTTAGGCGGCCGACTTCAGCCAGGTCACGATCTCGCGGTCCGCGAGTTTGAGCCCCGCGTCAGGCTCTGGGCGGATGGCTCGGAGCCTGGAGCCTGTTTCCGATTCTGTGTCTCCCTCTCTCTCTGCCCCTCGCCCGTTCATGCTCTGTCTCTCTCTGTCCCAAAAATAAATAAACGTTGAAAAAAAATAAAATAAAATAAGAATGACTGCAGTGCTTATATAAATGCCAGGTGCTGTGCGGAGTATCCTTACCACAACCTTCTGAATCATCCATAGCCCCAGGGCTGGGACGGTGACTAATAATAAAGTGGTAGGTTATCCTGATGATAAAAATGGCTATGGGCTTGTTCCTGTAAACTTCCTCCAGGGGCTGTCCCACCTCCAAAGTGGACTCAGCTCTATGGTGCTGTGCACATTCAGTGAGGACAAATCTGTCCGGCAACAATTACCCAAATGAAGACTAAGGACGTTTTCACTGTCGCCGTCGGAGCTCGTGTGTGTGTGTGTGTGTGTGTGTGTGTGTGTGTGTGTGTGTGTGTGTGGCTTTTCAGGTAATTTTTCTTATCTAAATAACTTCTTGAGAGGAAACAGGTCCTTCAAGTGTGCAGCCTGGAGCTCTGGGCAAAGGAGGCAGCCTCGGAAAGCAGAAACCTCAGGCTAAACCAGCCCAGTTATGGCCCCCGGGTGCTCATACCCTCAGAGGCTAAATCAAGACCAGGAAAGCATACATACAGCCTGACTTCTGCTCTCCTGTGGGATCGTGCTTGGTTGATCAGAGCATCCCACAGACAGTGCAGTGGTGACCGTGGAGGGTATTAAATCATGGGCTCTGGAAGCAAACGCCAAGCTGCAAATCTCAATCTCACTCAGCTCCATCACTTTCCAGCCGTGTGACCTTGGCAAAGTCCTCAACTCGGGAGCCTTAGTTTCTTCATCTGTAAAATGGGCACAGGAAATAAAAACATACCACCAAAGGCTGGTGTGAGGACGAATGGGGTTACCCTGCAGCATGTGCCCTGCAAGGGGCTTGGGGCTCAGGGCCAGGAAATGTTAGTCATCGTTACTGGGATATCAGCAGCGGAGTTCTGTGTGTTGCTTCCCTTCTCCAGATGAGGTGTGGTGGTGACATGGTTCCACTGGGCTCCGTTCACCTCCTGTTGTATAAGGAGCCATTACCCACCTGCCGGCATTAGGTGAGAAAAAGAAAAGGAAGAGGAGTCTTTGCAGAGACCCACCTTTTTTTTTTTTAAAGCTTATTCATTTATTATTTCTGAGAGAGAGGGAGAGAAAGAGAGTGAGTGGGGGAGGGGCAGAGAGACAGGGAGACACAGAATCCAAAACAGGCTCCAGGGTCCGAGCTGTCAGCACAGAGCCCGATGTGGGGTTTGAACTCACGGACCGCGAGATCATGACCTGAGCCGAAGTCGGGCGTTTAACCGACTGAGCCACCCAGGCGCCCCCAGCAAGACCCACTTTTAAAAATGTCTGCGTCTGACCCCTTCAAAACAGAGGGCGGATGGGGAGGGTCTATCTTCCTTTTCTGTAAGTCCCACAGGCCTTGCTGGTATTTCTTTCCTGACAACAAGAGCAGGTTTCTCTCCCCACAGGGGCCCCTTTCTTTCCCCTGAACCAGAAGGGAAGGTCCCCTTTCTCTCCCCAGTAACGGGCAAGAACAACGTCCCATTGACAACGTGAATGGAGCGTTTCTTACCCTGAGACTCTTCCTGCTGCAGAGGCAGGGACCTTTTCTCTCTGGCTTGGCTTCCCAAGACCATGATTCCAGTTCTCTGGAGGCGACCAGGGCAGGGCAGCTCAGGATGTCTGATTCCGGCACGATCCGACCAAGGAAGGGAAACTGCCCAGTTGCCCAGTCTCCACAACAGGCCATTTTACATTTTACGCATGACTTCCGATGCGTGCAAGTTCTAGAAATTTCCCGGTGACACCTGCCTCTGGGCCTGCCTGCCCTGACCACCCAGTAACATCCCCTCCTTCCACACCACCTTCCCTTGCCCTGCTTCATTTTCTATCAGAGCGCTTAGCGTCACCCAGTCCATTTCCACGAACATGTTTATGGTTTGTTCTCCCTCCTGTGGGAACACAAGTTCCAGGCGAGTAGGGACTCTGTCTCGTTCATTGCCTAATCCCTAGTGTCCGGCAGAGAGTAGGTGCTCGGTGGATATTTATTGAATGAACGGATGAATGAAGTCCGAAAGGTATTTTTGCATTCCCTCTCCAATCCAGTAAATGCCTGATAAATGGGTAACTGAAGTCTAGTTGCAATTGTCCTGGGCTTCCAGAACGGCCTGGGCTTGGAGCGGTCAACCACCTGGCATGATCCTTTTATGGCCTGGCAAACTAGAGACGCAGCTTATGACCTGATCCCTGCTCTCTGAGCAGACAGAATTCAGCTACTGAGACCAAACTCACAAAGGGCAGAGTAAAGTGAACCCCAGCAGAAGAGAAGGTCTTCAACAGCTGGGACAGCTGCTGGGGGTGGCGAGGAGGGGGCACGTCTGCCGCCTGTTTATCCTGGCACCTGTAGGGAGGAGGAAGCCAGGTGACTGCCTAGTACTGAGGGACCAGGGTCCTTCGGCTGTCTAGTTTCTCGCTGCTCTCTGCAGTCTACCCAGAAACCACACCAATGTTTCCAGGAAGTATGCACTACGTGTCGTCTATAGGTTCCAACGCCCCGCCTGCCGTCTTCTTTTTCTCTCTCACTGCTTCTTGCAAATTAAAAAGTGAATCAGAAAGCAATGTTAAAAATAATCAAACCACAGCTAAAGGAAGGTGCTATCAACAGAAGAAAGGCGGGAAAAAAAAACCCGAGGGGAGTATTACTCCGCTGTGCTTTGAACACAGGCCCTGTGATTATTCATTCTGTGAAACCCCTCCGCGGCGGGGGCCCAGGGGAATTAATGGGGCCACAATTACTTGCCTTTTGCATTACTCAAACGGGCCATAAAAATTAGCATTGGTTTCTGTGGCCACCAGCTGGAAAAAGTCAAGAGGAGACAAGCTGTCAATAAAAAGGAAAAACCCACTGCTCCGGTTTTCCCAGATTGTAGCCGCTCACTGTCATCAGGTAACTCCTCTTATAATGAAAGTCAGCTTGGGGCATCAGGAGGTCCTGAAGCAAAGAGAGGAGGACCCTGAGGATGTAGAATCGAGGCTCTCCAGCCCGAAACTGGGTGCCAGAGGGAGGACAAAGAGCTTCTGAAAGGTCAGCTCTCCAAGTTGGGGGCTGGGCAGAGACCTTGGCACTCACCTCGGAGAGGGTTCCTGCCACATCCACGTTTTCAAGGCTCCCCGTAGATTAAAACATGACAAGCCATCAAAATGGGGCCACGGAGACGGTGGTGTGTTTAAAAATAATTATACTTAACAAATCAGGCCTTTTAATATGCAAGCAAACCAAGGAAACAAGATGGCGGTGCTATTCGCAAAGCAAATCCAGGACTCACTCCAAGCAGGGATTCGGGGTGTGCCGCAGGGGGCCGGGATGGGCATGGGACACGCGTGTGCATCTGGCAAGAACTTCTTTCTATTCTGTCGCTGGGTCACCTTGACCCCGGGGCGAATTCAGTTAGAGATTATTGTCAAGTCTAAATCTGAGTTCTTCCTGAATGGGAATCCCTCTCCTCTCCTCACTCAGATGCTCTGGGCCACGAATCCACTGCCTGTTCTCCCACGGTATTTGCCACTGCTTGTCCTGCTTTGTGTCAGGGAGGGCAGTTGAGGGGCCTCCTCTCTGGGTCTCGCTTGCAGGTGCTGAGGGTGGGGTGGCCTGGCTCCTTGGGGCCTCTCCAGGACATTTTCTCTGAGTCGCCCTTGGGGATAAGATAGGCTTGAGCCGGTTTTAGATTCCTCCCCTCCGAGGTTTGATTTCGGAAATTTGCAAGTTCTTTAACAACACTGTGGTAGCTTTGACAGAACTGGAATCATTCCGGGAGCCAACGCAGCAGACAACAATGAACAGAACCCTGAACCCATGGCGTAGGATTGAAGGAAGCTTTCTTCTCTGCCTCCTCACTGCTGCGTTGATTTATTCATTCAACCAGTATTTACCGAGTCCCTTCCAAGACCAGGCTCCATATTCAGGAGGAGTGATTGTGAGGAAACACAGACCTAGCCCCTTCCTGGTGAAGCTCACCACATAGTGCAGGTCTAGGGACCCTAATTGAAAATCACAAAGCATTGTAAATAGCCACGGCAACAAGTGCTCTAAAGCAGAGGCATGTGTTACTATGAGCACCTATTACGGGGTCTAGCTTAGTTAGGCAGGACAGGGAAGGATCTCTGAACACCCAGACATTGAGCTGGATCTGAGGGATGAGAAGGGAAAGAGAAGGAAGTCCCTTTTTGGAAGCAACAGTGCATGTGCAAAGGTCCTGAGGTGGGACAGAAGAGAATATAAGGCCCCAAGAAGGAAGTGGGGCTGGAGCAGTGTGGCAGAGACTTAAGGTGGTTCCCCGGGGCACACTGGAGCTGTGGCAGGGTGTGGAGACCTAGCATGGCCTGCAGGAAGGAGGCCCCTTTCAAGGAGCTTCTGGGCCTCCCAGATTTTCTTTCAGCCTTAGAGCAAGGGGACATCACTGAAAGGTGTTAAGCAGGGGGAGGAGTCTGGGGAGGCCTGAATCGCATTAGCATTTTGAAAAATCACTCTGGCTGCAGCTTTAACATCTCTGAAGGTAATTTCTGCTTCAGAAGCAGGGTCAATATTCAGTTACGGAAAGCAGAAGCTGGTGTGGCATAGCCCAATCTGGGTTTGAATCCCAGCTTCTTGCTTCATTTCCAGCGTGGCCTTGGGCAGGCCAGCATTTCAGAGCCTCAATTTCCTCAATAAAATGGAGATAATAATACCTCCTTCCGCGTTGTTATGAGGGATAAGGAAATTTAAGTAATTAGTCTGGCCTGACATGCGGCAAACTTCCCTTGGGATCTTTTAAAAGTGGAAACCTGCATGGATGTGACACAGAATACGAAAAGGCCAAAATTCAGCCCATCATATGGACTTGCAACTCTACTTGGAGAAAATATTTCGGGCTTCAACTTCACCTTCCACCCAGATGGATGGTCTGGAAACACCTTCTCCTGCTCCTTTGAACAATGCGATAGCGAAACAACCACTTATTAAACTGTTTGTAGAAAGGTGCTGCAGCCACGCCTGGTGACTCTGACATTTATTGGATGATAAACCATAGAAAGATGAAGCAAGCCATTGGCTGTGGGTTAAGTGCATTTGTTGGTGATGAATAACAGTCTGCTGGGTGTCATATTTGGCCAAAGTGACGCTGGTAAGTAAGCCTCTGTTTTGATCAATCCACACTTGGGCATTCTGGTGCTCTCATCTGCCAACCAGCCCAGGCCCTGCTGTGATGGCACTCCAGATGACTTTAAGTCAACAGTCTTGGTCGGAAACACTCAAGGGCCAACTTTCAGAGGCTCTTGCCGGCCAGTGATGAGACTACGTGAACACCCAGGATATGAACTATATCAACTGTGCTCCAATTCTGGAGTTGGTAATGACATTGACAAAAATACCAATCGCACACAAAAATATTGATCACCGTTGCAAGGTGATAGGAAACCAATATATTATTTTGAACATCTGTGTATAAAGGACAGGAATCAAACATTGATCCTTTGTGACGTAAACTGTGCCAGATACTAGCTGAAATCTTCCAGCTGACACACGGAGAAGGAATGACAGAGTTAGATTATCACCACTGTGTAACCCTTAACATATGAATGAATCTAGACATTAATCATCAATGGCTGCTAACGTCATAAAAAGGTAGAAAGGACAGCCCTCCCTCCCTCCCTGCATTATGTGCCTCCTGATGGAAGAACACAAACCCATATATGACCCAATGGCAATGTGGGGATTAAAATAAACTATAAAAATCTTTTTTTTTTTAAACGTTTATTTATTTTTGAGACAGAGAGAGACAGAGCATGAACGGGGGAGAGTAAGAGACAGAGAGGGAGACACAGAATCTGAAACAGGCTCCAGGCTCTGAGCTGTCAGCACAGAGCCCGACACAGGGCTCGAACTCACGAACCGCGAGACCATGACCTGAGCTGAAGTCGGACACTTAACTGACCGAGCCACCCAGGCGCCCCTATAAAAATCTTTTAAAAATATCAGTGAGAACCTTGAACACCTGATGGGCTATTGCATGATTTTAAGAAATTATCATTAACTTTTTAGGTGTGCTAATGCTATTGTGGTTGGGTTTAAAAAAAAGAAAGTTGCTATTTTGTTTTTTAGCAACCCAAATTAAAATACGTGCAGATGAATAGTGTATGCCTGGAATTTGCTTCAAAATAACAGGAGGAGAGAATGGGAAGATGAGGGCAGAAAGCACATCAGCCATGAGCTCGTGATTACTGAAGGTGGGCCCCAGACTCATGGGACTTTGATATTTTCCTTAACAGAAAGTTAAAAAAAAAATCCATTGACCGATCCAAAATCTGTTGATCACTTTAATATTTAGCTATTATTAACAGTATTATATTAACATGAAGTCTCACCTGTGCGATGCATCCAGGCACTTTCATGGGAAGTCTGGGGGCTGGTGGGTTCTAGTCTTACTCTCCCATTCAGGAGCTGAGTGATTTTGGAACTTCAGTTCTCTGGGTCTCCCTGTACTCCTTCAGGAACCGAGGAGCAGGGGTGATTTCTAACATCCTGCGGGCTGTGTGCTTAGAGGGACAAAGAGATTTGGGTCCTACAGTCTGACTGTCTGGGTTGGAATCCCAGTTTCCCATTTGTATCCTACGGTAAATTTGCTTAATGCCCCAGAGCTTTAAAGATGGAAAGAGCAATAATGCTTACCCCAAAGGGATCTTGTGAAGATTAAACGAGATACTGAATGCATTCATTCCATGAACGTTGGGCACCTTGCTCCCAGCTCTGGGAAGGGGGGTGGGTGGAGTAGTGAAGAAAAGGCTGGGGCCAGGCTGTTTGGAGCCCAATGGGAGGTCCCAGACGACACCCAGCAAACACTAAATAAGAAGGAGGACTTCAAACAGCTACAACTATGAAGAAAACCCAACAGCGATTTCATGGAAGGCTGCTTTCAGGGAGGTGGGTGGCAACGTTAAACGGGTAGGTTGGGCTGAGGAAGGTTGCCTGCCTTACAGGCATAAATCAATTGATTACATCTCTCTCGACCACGGTCCCACATTTGGCGATGTCTGAGGATTTTTGGTGGCCGCAACTGGGGGTGGGGTTGAGGGGGCGTTCTGACATCTAATGGATAAAAGGCTAGGGACGCTGTTCAATATTCTCCAATGCAATAAGACCGCCGCCTCACCAAAACATTATCAAATGCAAAATGTGAATAGTGACAAGGCCGAGAAACCCGAATATAGAGCGGACAGCAGGGTAAGGGGTCCTGGGTCAGAAGGCAGCTTGCGGTGTCTGGGGTACAAACGGAAAGCCAGCGTGGTGGAGGAAACCAGGATGGGGAGAGAGGCAGGTTGGGGTAGGTGAGGGAGCACCTTTTGCAGCACGGTGAGGAAGTTGGAATTATCCCCAAAGCAGTCGGCAGCCCCTGGGAGAGTTTTGAGCGGGGGAGGAAGTTAACTCAGGTAATAATGCGCTTAGCACATACAAGCTCTCTAATAACTACAGTCCATCGCTACCATCACCTGCGTATCTTTGCTACTTTGCCCCGGCCCAACTCCAGGCCTCTGCGCGGCCGCAGTAACTAACTCCTCCTGGCCAGCAGAGGGCGCC